GGTAAGAAAGATGGGGAATAGGAAAAAAGAAAAAAGAAAGAAAGAAAGAAAGAAAGAAACAAATAAACAAAACAAAACAAAAGAAAAGGTAAGAAAGATGTGGGAATAGGAAAAGAAAGAAAGAAAGAAAGAAAGAAAAGGTAAGAAAGATGTGGGAATAGGAAAAGAAAGAAAGAAAGAAAGAAAGAAAGAAAGAAACAAAGAAACAAAGAAACAAACAAACAAAGAAAAGGTAAGAAAGATGTGGGAATAGGAAAAGAAAGAAAGAAAGAAAGAAAGAAAGAAAGAAAGAAAGAAAGAAACAAATAAACAAACAAACAAAGAAAAGGTAAGAAAGATGTGGGAATAGGAAAAGAAAGAAAGAAAGAAAGAAAGAAAAGGTAAGAAAGATGTGGGAATAGGAAAAGAAAGAAAGAAAGAAAGAAAAGAAAAAGAAAGAAACAAATAAACAAACAAACAAAGAAAAGGTAAGAAAGATGGGAATAGGAAAAGAAAGAAAGAAAGAAAGAAAGAAAAGGTAAGAAAAAGATGTGGGAATAGGAAAAGAAAGAAAGAAAGAAAGAAAGAAAGAAAGAAAGAAACAAATAAACAAACAAACAAAGAAAAGGTAAGAAAGATGTGGGAATAGGAAAAGAAAGAAAGAAAGAAAGAAAGAAAGAAAGAAAGAAAGAAAGAAAGAAAAGGTAAGAAAGATGTGGGAATAGGAAAAGAAAGAAAGAAAGAAAGAAAGAAAATGTAAGAAAGATGTGGGAATAGGAAAAGAAAGAAAGAAAGAAAAATGAAAGAAAGAAAGAAAGAAAGAAAGAAAAGGTAAGAAAGATGTGGGAATAGGAAAAGAAAGAAAGAAAGAAAGAAAGAAAACGGTAAGAAAGATGTGGGAATAGGAAAAGAAAGAAAGAAAGAAAGAAAGAAAGAAAGAATGAAGGAATTAAAAAATAGTAAAGGAAAGACAACCAAAAGAAAAAAGAATAGACGAAAAAGTTAAGAGAATAAACATGAAAGAGAAAAAAGATGAACAAGTTGACATAGATAGATAGATAGATAGATAGATAAATCAATTGATTTAGGTAAATTTAGTAAGTATTAGTACTCACGATTAGTAAATGCAACGTCACTCAAAAGTATCTCAAGTCAAATGGTAAATGTTCAGATGTTTTTTCTTTTCCCCAGTTCAGACATTAACTGCAAGAACAGACTAGTTCCAAGGAGTCAAATCATACTCATCCCCTCCATATTCCAATTGTAAGGAGGAAGTTCTACTCAGTTTTTTGCCACATTGTAGAAAAAACACCTGCGCGAATTTTTTCCCCTAATCAATACAATATTAACTTGTTCGAGGCAAGCGATAAACGTTATATTGATTTCGAACGCTGAAACCCTCCCCTGTTCGAACAAATAGGGTAACATAGTCTTCTCAGTGTCGTCTTACGTGTCGAAATAAGCTCGGTAAATAATAAAACCTTGAATTCCAATGCTGACTTTCTTGTCAAGCGAACTTTGCCCATTTCAGCAACTGGAATAATAGAATCATACTCACTTCATCTAGCATCTTTTCTCGTTTTCGTTAGGCAGAATCAAAAGACAGGAATTTGGCACTGATCATGTAAGCTGATCGTTCCTGTTTGGAAAACTGGTTTATCACAATTTTTTTCAACTTGGTCTAATACAGTATCCAGCTAAACTTAGACTTAAATTATGCCTAAACTAAACTTAAACTATTGTCTATTTCCCTGAGACATGGTATTATGATTACGCTCTGGCCTTCGTCTGGTGATCGGATCTCTGATATGCGGTATTATGATTACATGCATTAATTACATTATTCAGACTGTTATCATCATATTCATTGCCGTATTCACAACGTTTCGGCCGTTGTCATCTCCGGCCTTCTTCAGGTGATTGGATCTCTGAGATGAGGTATTATGATTACATTCATTATTTACATTATTCGGACTGTTATCCTCATATTCATTGCCATATTCACAACGTTTCGGCCGTTGTAATCTCCGGCCTTCTTCTGGTGATTGGATCTTTGAGATGAGGTATTTTGATTACTTGCATTATTTACATTATTCGGACTGTTATCCTCATCTTCATTACCATATTCACAGCGTTTCGGCCGTTGTAATATCCGGCCTTCTTCTGGTGTTTGGATCTCTGAGAATGAGTATTATGATTACTTGACTTATTTACATTATTCGGGCCGTTATCCTCATCTCCATTGCTATATTAACAACGTTTCGGCCGTTGTACACTCCGGCCTTCTTCAAGTGTTCGGAATTTCGAACCAAACCCTTTATTTCGTCCACCGTGGTAGATTGTTCTAGTTCCACGTGCCATGCCTCTTTCGGATGTCTCAGTTATTTTCCTTTAACTCTACTCTCCAATAACCTCTGTGTCACTTGCTTTCAATATCTCCTCTGGGTGTCAAATTCTCCAAGCCTGCTTTCCTCGTGTATCCTAGAAACTTCAATTGTTTCCATTTTCCCGAAAGCTTAGTCTTTATTCTCTTCTTTAGTTCGTTCTATTCTCAGCATCCTTCTGTAGAAACATGTTTTCGTTGTTTCAAGTCTCTTCATCAACTGTGGGTGGGGGTGGCGGTTGATTGTCCAGTATTCACGGCCATTGAGAAGGACCGATATAACATAACAGTTCAGCACTCTTTTTGTTTCTAACGACATTTTCCTGTTTCTTAATACTTTGCTTAGCTTTTGGGTAACATCTTTTGCTAAATACTAGTATATAAATACACTATTTTAGCCATGTAAAAAAATAACGGTATATGTTATTAAATGCCATTGTTTTATTTTTTTATTTTATTTTTTTATTTTTATTTATTTATTTATTTTTTGCATTAATGAGTTACAGATAAGAACCTATTATTAGTGTAGGTTTTTTGTAGTCCGTTAAGGAGGAACGATATTACATAACAGTTCATCACTCGTTTCTTTGTTTCTAATGCAATTTTCCTTTTTCTTAATACTTTGCTTAGTTTTTGGAAGCCATCTTTCGCTATTCCAATACAACTTCGGATTTCGGTGTCAGGTTTTCCGTCTTTTGTCAAAACTCTTTTTACATAATTAAATTTACGTACTGGCTTGATTTTCGTGTCTACAATTCTGAGTTCGTATCCTTTGGCTGTTCTTTTTGCCGACAACCGTATGAACGCTTTTTCATGGCTGCAGCATATGCATTTCATAGTTGTACTTCTCCTACACTGGTTGCCAGCCAAGGCTAAAGAGCATGGTCTGGTTTGTTAATTAACTCGTAGCTGGCGGCGGGGACAAGAGATGTCCAAGAATATTAGCGCGAAAATGAGATCGACTGGAATTCGAAAACGGTTCGCTGATTTCGCGTTTCGAACTGCTATGACACTAGCCCCGCATCAGAATGCAAAAAGAGTGGGGGGAGAAGGAAACCTGTGGATGAAGTAAAGATAAACTCCAAAATGATGCAGACAGAAAAGAAAAAAAAAGGACTGAAACAAGAAAAGAACGAAAAAACAAAACATAAAAAATAACAGTTTTTTTTTTTTTTTAAGCGGGAATAAAGAAAGACATTTTTTAAAATATAAGAGAAAGGTGAAAGTTTAAAAACAAGACGGGTCAAGAAACAAAAAAATGATGAAAGAAGGGAAAAAAAAATAATAATTAAAATTCAAGAAGCAAGAATAATGAAAAAAAAAACGCGCTAAAAAAACGCTCGAAAATATTTCCTTTTTACAAAGGAAATATTCATAGAATAAAAAACAAGAAGAAGAAAAAAAAAAGAACGAAGAATAAAAGAATAAAAGAATGAAAGAATGAAAGAATGCATTCCTAAAGATCTAGAATGAAAGGGAAGAATACCTCCTGTGGTTTCCTCAGATGAAACTGTACCATTGAATGAGGATAATAAAAGTCATCAGAACGAAAAGTCATTTATTGGCGACGTGACTTCTTTTTAAAACAACTTTGAAAAGGGCAAACGATAGAAGAAGAAAAAAAAAAGATAGCTACAGTCATAATAAAAAAGGAACCACTGAACTGTAGGCCTTTAACCAAACATCAAATTCGTTTTAGACATTCACAAAATTCAAGCAGCTGAAAATTAATTTTGGATACGAGGCAGAGCCAGACTTAGAAAAACGATAAATATCGTATGCTTTTAATTAATAAAGACAACAGCAAAATTTGACAGTTTCCGGACTGAAAATGACGATAAAGTATAAAATCTATTCATTTTTTTAGTATTTACATTGTCGGATTATTGTCCTCATCTTTGTCGCCATATCTGTACAACATTTCAGCTACAGCACGCCCGGCCTTCTTCAGGTGGTTGAATTTCGAACTGAACCCTTTATTTCGATCACTGGGGTAGACTGTTCTAGTTCCACGTGCCATGTTTGATGGATGTCAGTTATCGAAATTCCAACCACCTGAAGAAGGCCGGAGCGTACAACGGCCGAAACGTTGTGAGAAATATGGCGACAAAGATGAGGACAATAGTCCGACTAATGTAAATACTGTACATAATACCTCATCTCAGAAACATAGACAGACTATTCATTTTTATTTTATATTTTTTTGTTTTTTTGTCATCATCTGTTTTTGTTTTCTGTTTTTTTTGTTTTGTTTAATTTCAAAATCAAGAAACCGACAGCTCAATATGATCTTATTCTGTTTCAGAATTGACATCTTAAAATGTATTTAGAAGATGTGTTAACGATTGTACACTTAGTGTAACGGATAACAGCGCGGAAAGGTGGAATCGGAGAACGGAGTTCAAATCCGGGCTAGTCTGTTGCATTTCCTTTCGCATAACTTCCCTTAAAAAAAAAAAACACAAACTTGAATCCTTCTCTCCCTCTCCTCAAAGCTATGGATTAATTAGCAGGGTAGATTAGAATCTCTAGTCTGAGTTGGCAACCAATTGAAGACAAGGAAAATTCTTTAACGGGAATGCACAGACATTTCATATATAATAAAGGAATCTGTGGAGAGTCATGACCGCCTATGTGCTTACGGTCAAATCACGCTGAAACACCGGTTCTCGTACGATCACCGAAGTTAAGCAGCGTAGAGCCAGGTCAGTACTTTAGATGAGGGACCGCTTGGGGGAACACCTGGTACTGTAAGCCCCTCAAAGTCCAACCCCACCTCACAGTCGGTGGGGTGTAAACGTAGTGTCAGAGCTTATGCTGCCCGGAACTTCGTTCCTGGTAGGGCCACCCAAGGCGGACAGGTCTGACACACACGCCGGCTAACAAGGGCTCTGGTGAAAATCCAAGGAGCGTCTGCATCGGTAACTGGCGGCTTATGGTCGTTCCTGTCTCTGCGTCTGTGGGAACCCCGCGGCAAGCAAGAACGTTATCCGAGTAGGCCTGGGTACCCTACTTCTGTAATTTATCCCAAGAATCTTCTTCTCATAACAGGAAGAAGCCGGCTCAATCCTCCCAGGGTGAATGCCGCATCAGACAGTCAGACAGACAGACATGATCGCCTATGACTTAAAGATATAGATGCGTTGGTTTCAAGGTTAACGCAAAAGAGAGACTCAGGGAACCGTACTCGAATTGCAGCTGGATCAGTTTATATTCATTTCGAACAATTGATCCTGGGAAGGATACGGAACAAGATATTGTTCCCTCAAGTATTTTTCCCAGGGATATTTTTTCTAAGTAATGGGTTAGATGAGTGGTTTCCAAATTTGGTATTCCTAAAATTCTGGTGCCCCTCTGTAATTTATTTGGCCTTGGAAAATATTGCGCCATCCGTGATTGCATCACATTTTCATCACGCCCAGACACTATTGTCTCAACTGATGATTAGTTGTCCTACAGTCATTGTTTGCGATGGACGTTACTCCAAGAAAACGTACGAAAATTGTAACGCCTCCCCACGAGGGATATATATGTGGCACAAGGTCGAGTTTAACGTGGGTCATCCCAGCCCGTAGGCTCGGCCAAAAAATCCCGGTAGAACCCGCATAAACGGGTTAGAGTCTGTCTACCTCCCCGGACGAAACTCTGCCCCTTCGGCACAGCCTCGTCCGGGTTCCTCTCTGTCAAAAAGCAGAGAGTTAGACAGGAGCTGCGAAGAGCCCCAGTAGAACAGTTTAGATCATTTTTCCCTGTCTCACCTGTTTACAACTCGGTGGTAAACGTTTGCATTTTATACCTATAATGTCGATCTGTAGTTTTGGAGTTTAGGTACTCTAGAGCAGGGGTCGGCAACCTACGGCACGCGTGCCACACGTGGCACACCAAGCAATTTCCAATGGCACGCAGCCGCAAATGATATCACGAAGTCCAAACCAATAACTACTACAATGCAAATAAGATATTTAGCTGTTTTAATTTTAATATATACTAAAGTATATATACTGTATATTACTATATAAAATATAATGTAGAACAGGTATATTGACCTTGACTTGTATAAAAATACGTATGCTGTTGACACACTGAATGATTTTAAAACCCTAAGTCGGCTTATAGTAAAAAGGTTGCCGACTCCTGCTCTAAACTGTAAAACAAAATATGCCGACCCCTACACTAGTCTAGTAAGACAATTTTCTGTAGTAAATTTAGGGCCTTAAACCTACACCTGCCTGCATGATTAACTGCTACTGCAGCCTGTCAAAATATGACAGCAGTAGTTACATCACTAATCATCAATAAGGTTAGGTACAAGGCTACCGGGACAATCTATTCCCTGCAGATGGATATACCTCTGAAGAAGTCTGTAGGCGATAACAGCCGAAACGTTGTGATAAAAAGAACAAAGATGGTCCGAATATAAATTATGTAAATAACGATAACTAGAAATTCAGACAAAAATTAAATATGGTTATTATAATAATATTATTTTAATAAATCTCGAACATTTATTTATTCGGCAGCCATTTTTTTTTCTGAATTCCTTTCTCTCTAGTTTGACAAGAACGAAAAGAAATGTAACTTTCGCTGTTTTACTGACTGGTAACTTAAATGGCTACTGTTTGTTTAATGACCATTCCGTGCCGCAAAAGTGGTTCAAAGTCCAAATATATGAGGAGATATTTTTAAAGCGAGTTTCCAATGTAAATAATGGAACTTTGACAAAGACAAAAAAGAAATCAAATTCAAATATAGGACCTTAGTAACAGATAGGCTATTTTCTAAAAGTATTGCAGATTCTGTACGAATATGCTCACCCATGCCGTCCAAAATTCTTACTATAATTAAAAGGTGTCTATATTTCTGAGATGCGTTATTGTAACTATTTACACCATTTACATTGTTCGGACTGTTGTCCTTATCTTTATTGTCATATTTACAACGTTTCGGCCGTTGTACGCTCCGGCCTTCTTCCGGAGATATACGTTGAAATTTCGATACAAACCCTTTATTTCGTCCACTGAGGTATATCGTTGTAGTTTCACATGCCATGCCTTTTATCCACTGGACTAGTATATATATATATATATATATATATATATATATATATATATATATATATATATATATATATATGATAAACCTACATTTTGTTACTCATAGATTGGTGCAAAACTAAGTTTCATGCACATAGCTATCGTAAGGCACGGATTGAAAACTGACCATTGTAAAATTTAAAAATTATTATTTATAACCTAATGTTAAGATAGAGGAACACTCCATTTACGTATTAATATATATATATATATTACCTCCCCGAAAGAGACTCCGCTCTTCGGCGTAGCCTCGTTCGGGTTCCTCCCTGCCCGAAGGCAGAGAGTTCAACCGATCAGCCGGTCAGCCGGTCGCCCGACTTCAGACTGAACTCCCTGCTTCCTCTTGAGGCGCAGTATTTGTTACGTATGGAATACTCCATTATGTTATTATGGGTAAGGTCCCATAACAGCTATATATTTTTGGAAAGTGCCATCTTCATAAAATCAAATTCCCCGCAGAGAAAGCCTTCTGAACAGATCATATGAGCCCAATGTGTTAGGGTCTTAATTAAATTTATCTTACGTTGTCGTGGACAAAAAGAGTCCTAACGTGTATAGAGTCCCAAAATAGAAGCTTTCATAAAAACAGAAGTCAAAAACTTGTCACAGATCCTATGGGCAAGAACATTCAAAAAGGAAAGACAACAATTAGACTCCTTTTCCACAGTAAACTTAAGCGAGGTTTAATAAGGTGATAAATGAATCGGCTTCAGCCTCATTATTAAAGAGGCAAAAATATCATCCACATAACGATAATGCATAAGAGAACGATCAATACGGGAAAATAAAAAAGGCCTCATGAAAGCTGACTATGATATTAGCTAGAGCAGTACCCAACGGTGAACCCATCGCTACACCATCAATCTGCCGATTAATAATATCAAAACTAAATTCAACAGACGCGGTGGCGAACTTCATGAGATCAACAAATACACTCTCAGGAAAATCCAGACGATACAAAGAGCTACAGTACAACATATCGCAAATTTTATTAAGCTGCTCGAAATCATTATTTTATTTTCTACTAACATGCGCCACCCACATTTTGTTGTATTTACTGTTAGAAATGTTCAAGTGATGTTTTTTTTTCTTATTTGGTAATGGACGTCATAATTGTGAAAAGATACACACAAATTATATATTGATAGATTGTCGGCGTGTCATGCGCAAAGGAGAGCTAGATATACCAAATCCTATATATGATTTGGACCCTGTTTGATACCATGGAAAAGTCGGACTTTGTGGTATATAAATGTCATACAAGGGAAAGTGGAATCATGCCTTCTCTACAGACATTAATACAGACAGAAACACGTCTACTTAACCGGAATTTAAACTCGATTCGCCAGTTTCATGTGCTATCATATTAACAGAGATGCCAACACTTTACCCCCAATGTTAAAATTAGATCTTCATAATAATGATCAAATTTCATACATAGATATGAAGAGACTGCGATAGATTTATCGAGACTGCGAATGATAGATAGATAGATAGATGAGATAGATAATAATCAGAATTTGATAGATAGATAGATAGATAGATAGATGAATGAGATGATAGATAATATGAAGAGACTGCGCCAGATAGATAGATAGATAGATAGATGAATTTGAATATGAAGAGACCCCGATAGATAGATAGATATGAACAGACTGATAGATACAAATGGATAAGAACAGAGTGTGATAGATAGATAGATATATATAGATATGAAGAGACTGCGATATAGATAGATAGAATAGATGATATATATGAAGACACATATAGATAGATAGATAGATAGATAGATAGATAGATAGATAGATAGATTAACAGACTGATAGATACAAATATGGATAAGAAAGAGTGTGATAGATAGATAGATAGATAGATAGATAGATAGATAGATAGATAGATAGATAAGAGACATAGATAGATAGATAGATGATAGATAGATAGGATAGATAGATATGAAGAGACTGCCAATGTTATGGATAAGAACAGAAAGATAGATAGATACATATAGATAGATAGATAGATAATAGATAGATAATGAAGAGACAGAAGATAGATAGATAGATAGATAGATAGATAGAATTTGAAGATATATAATGACCAGAACGAGATAGATAGATAGAAGAGATAGATAGATAGATAGATAGATAGATAGATAGATGATATGAAGAAACTGCGATAGATAGATAGATAGATTGATAATGATCAGAGATAGATAAATAATGATCAGAATTTGATAGATAGATAGATAGATAGATAGATAATAATCAGAATTTGATAGATAGATAGATAGATAGATAGATAGATAGATAGATAGATATGAAGAGACTGCGATAGATAGATAGATAGATAGATAGATAGATAGATAGATAGATAGATACGCTTTTTGACAGACACTAAAACCACTTTTAAATCCTTGGATGTGAAGAACACTTTTTTCCCCCTTCTTCCCAGCAACTTAATTGAAACTCTGAGTTCCACCTCCGTCTCAGTGTCATTAATCTTTTAATCACCACTCTATTCTTTTCACTTCACACCCCCACAGAAGAATTTTCCTGTCCATACTCCTCCGAGAAGTTAGACGTTTTAGGTGACCCCTCATTTATCAAGCTTGGGACCTGACGACGTTGCAGTCAAGGCCCAGAAGTAATGGTCACTTTTTTCT